AAAGGGCAACCTTGCCGCATGTGCCATTAGAGTTCAGGAAGAGAGCGGTGCCGACAACCATTATCAGCGGAGAGTGCCGTGGTATACAACTCGACAACTTCTTCTATGTACCTATACCGCACACGCAAGTGCGTACTTTGTGACATATCATCTTGCTAATGACTAAACAGGCGAAGCGCAAGACACATACTGTCTAAGTCGAAGCCCCGGAATGGCCCACGCTCGCTCTCGTCAAACGGCTTGTAGAATGAGCCTCGCAAGGAAACCGCTCACCCGAGAGACCGTTGTGGATTTCACTTGTACCAAGGTATCGCGCACCCTTGGCTGTACGTCATGTTCTTCGTTAAGCCGAGAAGAACTCATGCGATGGGAGCATTAAGCATGATCTGAACCGAAACGCAAATACTTTCGGGGCAATGTATCTGTACAAGGCTGTGTAATAGGTACGCACGTGTATCGTGATGCTCGTTTCTCAAATAGCACCTACTCGACGATTCCAAACCGATGCTAGATCGAGACATGTAATCGATCAGTCGGCCCCCGGACTCACGGAGTGCTAGACAGATTCGGCCGGAGCAACACGGTCCCTGTCTATTGTTCACTAATCCGACTAGATGATGGGTCACTTGAGTCTTTCGCACCTCCCCCTTTCGTACAATGCAACTCTCGGCCGCACGTTTTGAAATCCTTCTACGGGGCGCATCGTCCCTCGAAGCAAATCTGGTGCAAAGCATAGCGCGTGGCCTTTAGGGTCAGTCTGCCGAAGGTGAAATCCACGCCGATTCCGGCGCAGTCAAACGGCCGCCGTCAACCTTGTTGTTGCGCAACAACTGACATCTACGCTCTTGACCGTGGCTTGCCGTCCCAGGCATTGGACTCACACTCGGTCCGGCAGACCAGTCGTTTCTCTCTGGTTATGCCTCTTTTAGCACCTCCGCTCGCAACGTCTGGTCTGCTGTAGAACAATCTCACCCTTCGCCGCTCAACTTCTTCCACATTTCGCAACGCCTCTGACCACTTGTTGTACTGTAGTACTTCCTGTATGTTTCTCCTTCTTCCTCGGCCACGTGTACAGGACGACAGCCACAAAGTGACTTTTTCTAAAGACATTCTGACGTTGGTTGGCGCAATCTGAGTGTGAACTTCGGAGAAGCTCAGAATCGCTAAACCCAAGAGACGCGGACCATCCCCGTTACGAGGCCTGCTGAACCTGGTTCATCTAATACACCCCTTGGGCACATCAAACATGCCCGCGGGGACATCTCAGGATTCAGCTCGCCCAAACCCTTCAATAGCCGCCGCCTGACGTTGTCTTTCCTTCGAATGGCACCGCCTCCGTACCAGTCTCCCCAGTTCGAGCGCCGTTGAGAATCACGGTACCGACCGGCTCCAGTATACGAGTGCTTGTACGCGATAGGATGTCATTTGATCTCTATCAGTGGCCATGACGACTCAAGAGTCATTCGGAGTGTCCTTTCTCTGCCCAGCTTGTGTCCCGCTATCGCTTCCTGCGAAGCTCAGACAGACGTGTCGATTTTCTATCTTGACCCGAATTGGCCATCCGCCTGCAACAATTGTGTAGCCCATGAGATCGGCGACCCTACTGCTGTGGTGTATGAGGTACCTTCGTTGTCTCGGTGTCTTCCAGATTTATGCTTCAAGCAATTTATCTTGCATGAACAAGCTAATTTCTCCATTTGACTTCGATATCACGTGTGGCATCCGCCTTGCCATGGATAAGCTCTCGGTTTTCTCGCATCCATCGAAGAAACACAAAGTCAAAGATGTCGTGAGTTGTGTCTGACAGTTGCCAAATTCTTCCCTTATCCTTTCAGTTGTTGCAAACCGCAATCGTGGTCAGGGTTGCTTTTTGACGTTGCTAAGTCACGAGGCTTGTGCTGATGCCTCTCCCCCGGCAGCTTGTGCTCAGTTTGGGTTTCAACACTTTGCGAAACTTCACGCCTAACGCGCTGCGCCACTGGTCCAGCACTCGAGGGCTCACCGTACGACTCCACGAGCAGATCACTTCTCTACTCGAAGGAATCATGATCCTCGGAGCTTGACATCTACCCAGCTCGAGGCATATGCTCCACGGAGTCTCTAATGCGCGCGTACTAGCTGAATATCGCACCCGATCCCTTGCGCTATGCACATCCATAGAGCCGAAAAAAGTACTGGGGAAAAGGAAACCCTCCCTGGGGTGTCACCAGCGCGCTTAGATCTGAACATCGTTCGTTCATTGCGTTGCGCAATCACGAGGTGGGCGGGGTCAGGCCGTAGGCCCTCGTAGCCAGGTATCAGACTCTGGTTCAGGGATCAGAGCCATCTCACGATTAGACCAGGGCGTCGTAGCCCTCTTCTTTTGGTCCTCGTATCGTCAAAGTTGACATCGTCGCTGCCCTCAATGCTGGTGCATTAGTCGGGGATTCACTGAGGTTAGCTCGGTAGTGCGGCGCCTCGAAAAGATGCGCCGCACTACCGTCAATGACTTCCCAATCTGGTACCCGGTGGCGCCAGCAAGCAATTGTTGGCGTTGTTGAAAGTTTGTGGTGAATTGGCGGATGAGGAGATTGGAGTTTCAACCATCATCAATCGAGTCACGGTGCTCTATCAACTATCTCAGGGGGCCAATTGCACGTGGAATCTTGAAGATGTTCTGTCTGACAACGATGCCATCGAGCTGATTCCTCTGTCATACTGCAGCGAAGAGGATCCTCGCTTGCTCCGGTATTGTGACCATGCATGCACATGCAAAAGCCGCGTTTTGGCGGCAAGTAGCCTACAGCACGAGGGCTTTGATCGCAAACCGTTACTACGCTAGACCAGTACGTCGCTTGTGCGACCTGGACATGGTCAGGAAGGCGTCGATAACGAGCAGATGGTATACTTCCCATGACCAGGCAGGAGCTCGATTTCGCGATGGTCATCATACACAATCCCTGCATCCAATCTGTGACTTGAAAGCAGCACACCATGATGACGCGTATAGGGCAACGATCTACCCCCTGGCAGCACCACGTCGGTTCCACGATCTCACTGTCGTCGGAGGGCCTAGCAGTGCAGTGAAGATACTATCTCTTGTACCTAGACATTGCAGACACGGCTGCACACACTCTTATGTAGCGTTAGACGACACTGATCAGGATCGTGAGCACTCAGAAAAAGATGATCGCAGCCCGCCGGACGCCGACCCTTGTCACTGTCCATGAACCCAAACTTGATCGCCAGCTCATAAGAAACAAGTTGTTTCTATCAGAAAGTGTTGGAATATCAATATACCTGATCAGCAGCTGAAGTCCACGACTGACTCATGGGTCAATTGGCAACTTCGCTCATGCAATGCTGGGGCTCAAGGAATGTCTTGTCAAGAGTGGCCGACGGCGCATTGGATCGGCCGCGACGGGGCAGCAGAAACTCCCGACCCCCCTTGTCGATGCTCACAGCTTCCTTTTCCTCAGCCATTGACGGTTGCTGCCTCACCGGTGCTATGGTGAGAGTTTGACAAATTGGGAGCCGAATGTAAGCGGTCAAACTGCAAGAATGTAGGTTGTGAGTCAGTGATGCGGCTCCGTGCTGTGCTGACTCGTCCCTGCTTCATGGTTCCTCGCACGCTGTCTCTCCAGTCTCCGCAAGATCCTGTTGCAACCTCTGGGGCTTGATGAGATCTGAGTCGTCGGTCCGAGGCTTGAATCAGACCTCATGACATCCTCTCCTACGGTCGCAAGGCATCCTGTGCGTCGTTCACGACGTTCTGTCTTTGATCCTCGAAACGTCCTGAGGATTTTATGCAAGTTAGCCAGCCTGCACGACGGATTTACCACGTTCCGTGCCATGTCTATGCTACGGCCGAACACACAAGGAGCAATACTCGCCCAATCTTGTTTGTTTTAATGTTCCTCAAGACAAGTGATCGCTTCCATGTATGTCTAGCTTAGGGTAGCATCTCTGCGGCCGTACGATAGAAGACAAGAAAAACAAAGAAATACAAGAACAGGGTCTCCCATACCACAGCCAGATGCCTGAGGCACCAATATAGCAAACTCAAGGTACATCAGAAAACTTCCCGCTCCCCACGCCCTATTGACAGCAACGAACAGAATCCAAACTTAAGCATCTCAGATAGCTTAACTCTCTTATAGTGTTGTTCTCAGATCCTCTCACTCTTTGCCCTACCGGTCCGGAGCGAAGTGCGAAAACGCAAAAGGATATATTTTCGGTGCTATAACACCGAAAGTATGAGCTTCATCACCGGCAACAAACGTACCGAAACTCTGCGCCAGCAAATGGATAATCTTTTTCTCGCCACCCCCCTTGCACTTTCGAAAAGCATGAATGATAATACTTTGCACTCTAACCATGCTGCTGGGACTGAGCGCAAATCGACTTCATGTGGCCTTATTTTTAAGCATGTCCAAGTATGCGTCTATCTTTTAACTGCTGGAAGATGTGTTCTTTGGCTTTGAGTTGTCGAGAACTAAAACCGATGTACTGGGCTATCTTAAAGAGACGACAGTTGTTACCTTTGTTAGAGGTTCGTATAAATATGATGGAAGACGATGATGCATAACGTCAACTTCTACACTCTCTGTATAGATGCTGAACTGGGAAAGAAGACTCGACCATGTAAAACCAGCTCCATCATATGTTGTAAAACATCTTCTACCACTGAGTAAAAGAACATATGGAAGGAAGAGTACCAAGATGTCTCTCGTCAAGATTTTGACAAAGACCTTATACCATGACTGGCATTGTGGAAGAGCCACTATGGTTTCGACGGTGTTACTGTGCTGCCAATGGCACCAAAGTTACTCTTGATGAGGACATGGTGATCCGAGTGCGCGCACAAGCAATATCTCAATGAGATCTGGCACTTGGGCGGCTTGACGAGAACCAGACTGACCTTGAAGCAGGACCGTGGACTAGCCATCAGCCTCTTGCTTTTCTGCAGGTATCTGTCGTCGGCTTTTCTGATGGGTGTAGCGAAAAGACTCATCACCTCTTCAACCCTTGATGGCCAACAACTTGTTCAACACATCCTCAGCCGCACCTTCAACCTTCTGTCTCTCCACCGGGGTCATCTTCTTCAAGACATATCTCGCAACATCATTAGGCTCCCTGCTAACAGGTCTCCCAATCCCCACACCCACCCTCACAAACTTGACACCACCCAGACTCGCCAAACAGCTCTTGAGCCCATTGTGTCCTCTGGCAGAAAGCCCTTCTTTGTCTCTTATCGTCACCGACCCCAATGGCTTCTCCAACTCGTCGTGCACAACCACCAGTCTACCTTGCATATTGTTCTCGCGCGCCCAGGTGCGGTAAGCGGCACTCACGCCTTTGCCGCTCTCATTCATAAATGTTGGCGATTGCCATAGCGTCCACGGCATCTCTGGGTTATAGCTGCGTGTGAGGGTGCCGTTGCCATATGAGCGGTCCTTTGTGAATTGGCCGGCTTGGAGCAGTGTCGCCAGTGCGGCTACGACGTTGTGGCCGGCACTGTGTAGTGTGTTTGCGTATGCGGCGCCCGGGTTGCCGAGACTGCAGACGAGGAGTGGGAGAGAAGTCATTGTTGGTTCGTCGTCCGTAGGGCCAGCGGACAACGGAGTGTCGACACGAGAAGGCGGTGTTTGTTGTTGTTGCTTGTTCCTGCGACTTTCCTTCTTTCGCTTCTTTTTCTGCGTCGAGGATGTAGAGGAGGTGGTTACGACCGAGGCGGGAGAGTCTGCGCGTATAGAGGAAGTTGCGCTGTCCGTTGCGACGGCTTCTTGTCGCGAGTGTATGGGCAGCGACTTCCACTCGGAAATTGTGTCGCGATCGTCGGCCACTTCGCCCATTTTCGGTGATGTCATTTTCGATATTTTTGGCTCGCTCTCTTTACTGTTTTCCTCTTTGCGATTTCGAAAGGGATCGATGGTCTTATGTACTCGATGGGAGCGAGCGAGTCTTTGTACTACATCATCGTTGTTGTTCTGTTTGGTTGAGTCACCGAGTCCATGTCCGGCATGCGGTCTCGACGCCATTCTTTCTGCCTCCATCTCAGCCACACATTTCCCTCCCATGTGTATTACTGCAGGCAAACGAACCCGGTTATCAGTTTGTCCATCAGAGAAGTGCCACTGAACATCTACTACCTCCTCATGTACTAGAATTTATTACATCTCACCTATAAATATACACAGTCTCTTTGTAAGCCGGAGCAGCATCCACTGAGAGTCGTGAATAGGTTGCTTCTTTTCATATTCAACTCTCTCACAGAAATGTATGTGCATAACGACAGCTTACAACATGGTGGAATACCGTTGAAAGTAAACAATGAAACAGTCGAATATGAGCAGAAGTGTTAATGAAGCCTTCGAGATCCTAGTTTCCTTTTCTAAGACTACCCTCGTTCGTTGACCCGAATAAATTGATAGAGTTCCCGATACTGTTACATTGTGTCATGATCATTCCCTCATCTCGTTCGTCGTGTTCAACGTTCTGGTTGATACAATCGTATCATTTCTTCAACCTCCACGTCTTTCCATCTCGAGCTCTACCCTTGTGTAGAACTTCCATGGATGTGTTTCAAGGTGACAACCAAGATATGTGTCCTTCAACTTGATCATCTCTAGATCCTTGGACCCAAGTGCCTGAGGACTGACTGATTTGCCCTGAAAATGTTTTGCCATGTTGAAGCGACCAAGTAGGTGACGGAATGCCTCGAGCTCAGGTATGCCGATCGATCTTGTGCCATGCTGATGCATGATATCTGTCAACGCTTTCGTCATGTTGTCCTCCCAGATCCCCGCACACTCCGTTGTCCCCGTATAATTGCTGCCAAGTTCGACCCGAACTGTGCCGTTTTCCATGTGGATATACCATCTACGGCGCGAGGTACCTGGTTCTGTTCCATGAGAAGCAGGTGCGACGAACATAAGACGCTTGAGGGTGAGAGGTGCACCCAATCGGGCGAATCTTACTATGCGGTGTTCGGCAGCGGTTGAGAGCAAGCGATGTTGTGTGTTAGAGAAGTCCAAGCCACTACCAGATGTGTTGCCTTGCCACCAGAACCCGGAGTCAAATCTTGCGAACCGAACACTCACAAGTTCTCGGAAGATCTGCTTGCACGCCCCAGCCATCTTTGGCATTCGTAGCCGGAAGTCGTAGAGGTTCAGTGAGCGACTGCGTGGTAGTTCATCCACCACAAGATCGTAGATGATGTTGCGCACCTCACCAGGCAAGTCCAGGAAACCAAGTCTTGACGGGTCGCTCTCGGCGATAGTCCGTTGTTCCACTGCTCTGGCTACAACCAGAGTAGCCTCTGCTGTGAAGTCGAATGATGTGTGTGCTGGTGTTGTGCGCCATTTTCGAAATGACTGCACAATCGATGGTGACGCCATATCAATTCTTGGTCTTGCCGTGTACTTTGAGAGTTGGAACAATCAGGAAGTGAACGGTACCGCGATTGGTTCTCCTTATCGTGGATCTTGCAGCGAACTTTGACGAGAAGTTGGATGATGTTTGCTGGTTAGGCAGGATCGTGCCCGGATCAATCTCAAGCCTGCAATGCAGAATCAAGGAGTGAGAAGTTCCGTAAATATGTAGTGGTATAGTGGAATAAACGGCTCAGAAAGTGATGTTATGTTGGTGGTAGATTTGACTCTCTTGATGAGGCAGCCACGGTGGGACTCGCATCAGGTCCAGCAAAGTGATAAATCTTGCATGATCTTTGGAACAATAGAACCAAGCGTTTGCACCACATCCTCTTTCTTCAAATGCGGATTGTATGGTGTGCAGAAGTTCTTCACTTGGAAGCGGATTTGTTTCGTTCTTCGTCAAGACCAAAGATTCTGATTGGTGGATCCCTGACCAACCATCCTGTTGGCTATGGTTTGTAGCAAGGAGCAAAGCAAATGTCTAGCCCATTGAGTAGATGTGGTCGAAATATGTCAACTAACGTCTCAAGGTCATAGAACCCGAGGGCTCTGGAATGGCTAGATTCGACTGTCCAGATGATACGCTCTTCCAAGGCTAACATAATGGGTACACAGAGAGATCTTGCGCGACCAATCAGTCTGGTCACGTCGAGCTCGATGTGCACATGGCCACTTTTGACTCTAATGCGAAAAGTAGTGAAAAAACCATTCCACATTTTGTAGCGGATAGTCGCGTATACATTGATGTGGACTATATGGTTCATGTGAGCTTGCATGTTTCTCAGGAATATGGCAGTGCATGGTCTCAAGATCATGTTCGGGTCACATCCCGGATATGGCCGGCTGAGGTGGAACTCGCATTGATTGCTGGAAAAGAGTATTGGCGACGCTTCTTGCTCGATTTGGCGACATGTAGCCAACAATGCTGGTCGTTGGAGGTTGTTCAGGAATAGGCCTCGTGGTTCGCTCAACGCGTGATGGTAGATTTGATTGCGTATCTCGGGTGGGAGACGCAAGAAGCCAACGGTCTTGGCTTGGTGGTCCATTAAGCGGAAGTTGATGATTGCGAAACGAATGCAGCATTGTCAAGCAGAAAGTCCATCCTTATAGAGGTTCCTGAGCCTGTGCCAACGCAAATGACACACGAGCGACGTGTACGCGTGAAGGCCTATAGACACAGCTGCAAGATCAGCAGATATATGGGATACAACGGCCAATAGGCATGTTTTATGCTGCGCAGTCACGAATGCAACACAACAAGGCGGTAGAAGGTGTGCACAAACTCTTTCATTGTAATACCTTCGGCATACCTATAACCACCACATATAATCTCCAGTGGCCTAAAAAGGCATGACTCAACAACAACACTTCAACTTCTTTCTTGTTCATCTCCATATTTGCCAACAACTTTTCAAGGGCATTAGTCGTGTTTCCCATCGGACAAGGCTGCTCCGGGAAAGGCAAGAAGCCAATCAAGGAAAGCCAGGCTTCACACAAGTATCCTCACACTGCCATGTTGCTACTATTGCGACGACAGATTTACTGGGTCTTGGCGCTCTCGATAGGGCCCTGGTTGAAGAAGCGGCCGAAGAGAGGGTGGAGGAGGGAGTTGAAGACAATCTTGGCACCNGCTGCAGGATATTAGCATGAGCGCATAGGCTAGTGAAGGAGCAAGGTGACGTACCCAGTCTGAGGAAGGGACATCCAGAGGACAAGGACGAACTTGAAGGTGTAGTAGAAGGCTAGACTCATNGTTAGCTAAACGGCAAACAAGCATCAGGGGAGCGGACGGGATAACGCACGGAACCAGTAGACGGCGTTGACAGCGCTCTCGAGAACGGTCAAGAAGGCGTAGGTGACCCAGTAGGTCAACCAGTGGGTGTCATCGGCCTTGGTCTTGGAGAAGAGAGCCTCGAGCGAGTAGTAGCCGGGGATGATGAAGCCAGCAAAGTTGACGAGGAACTCGCCAGCAATGTTGAAGAAAATGAGGAAGAAGTAGAGGGCACCGAGGCCGAGGACGACGTAGACCTTGGGGACGGAGCTCTGCTGCTCAAAGTTGTTGAGGGCAGGGTACTTGGACAGCTGTAGACAGGAGCGTCAGCGCGAGCGAACAGGCACGTGGAGCTCTGCGAGACGTACCTCCTTGTCGAGCTGCGAAATGTGCGACTGGGCGCGTTCCTGGAAAGACATTTTGAGGAGGGGCTGAAATAAGGCTATGCAAACGGCAAGCAAATGAGATGGGAGCGACAAAGGCGAATTGGTTGATGGTTTAGGGGAGAGGAAAGCTTCGAGGCCAGGAGAGACGAGAGCTCGAAAAAGGCCGTACGTCAGCGCTCGGTGGCTCCTGCCCAGCGCCGGCAAATCTTTGGCTACATTGCGCTGTGCCTTCGTGCGTCCAGCGTGCTCCCGCTCCCACCCTGCCAACGAGGCGACAACGGTTTAAGAAACAACGTTGCAGGAGGCTGCTGCATCCAGCAACTGCCAATCTCCGTGAGATTGAAGCTCATTATCCACTCGCTTCCAAAGCAAACGACCTAAAACACTGCTCGCTTTGGAGCTACTCTTTAGTTGGTGTGACGTCGACCGCTCCTGCGCATTGCACGTGACTGCGACTCTGTCGTTCGGCGCCCGGTTGATGTTGGTAAACACATGCCAAACATTGACGATCCGCATCGCTACTCGTGCATCCTCGACTCGCCTTTTGTCCTCGACAATTCGGTTCCATACCAGCGCATAATCCACACGCGCTCTCCCTCGCCCTTCTAGGACTCTCGCTCCTCGAGGTTTGTTTAGACGTCTACACGTGCGGCCTCGTCGGTGTCTTCCCGGATCATTACAAACAAATAACTTGGACGTCAACAACATCAATATCAACAAACCCGACCTCGCTGGATTATGAACAATAGAGTCCAATCGACATAGCCACCATGCAGCGAACACGCTCTACCCACTCGATACATCGCCCGCTGTCGCGCGCTTCGACCCAGAGCGCCCACTCTCCCGCTCCCGACATGTTGCATCAACAACAATACTTGAACCACCACAACCCCGAGACAATGTTGCTACACTATGCCCAGGGCTCCGCACCGCACATGGACGCCCAGATGATGCAGCGCACCTTCCAAAATCAACACATACCCATGGACCAATTCACCGCGCAAGCTCAGCAGTTCGCGACCCAGGATGGCTCGTATATGTTTCAGCCCGCCGAGTATCCCGTCCCCATGGGTCTCGCCGCCTTCCCCCAGCTCAGTGGCCATGAGCCCGAGGACCGTCGCCGCAAAGGTTCATCGGCCACTGCGACCAACGACAAGGAACTGCGCGAGTTGCTGTCCAAGAACGAGGCGCGCTCATTACCAGAAGTCGCCCAAGAAGTCATCGCCAAGGAACGTACTCCCCAGGCGGAAAAGACAAAACAACTGTTCGCTATGCTCTGGTAGGTCTTGTTTGTTGTTGACGACTAGGTCTCTTACTGACGCGATGCTAGGCTGCGCAAGGTGTGCAAGGCGGCCAAAACCTCGGTGCCGCGCAACCGTGTCTACTCGCACTACGCTACGCGTTGCGGTACAGAACGTGTAGTACCTCTCAACCCAGCATCGTTTGGCAAGCTGGTGCGAGTCATCTTCCCGGGCATCCAAACTAGACGACTTGGTGTCCGTGGTGAGTCCAAGTACCACTATGTCGACTTGTGTCTCGTCGACGACAACTCGGACTCGCAGCTCAGTCTGCAACGCTCTAACTCCAACTCATTGCATGCTGAGGCTTCGGATATGCGTCGCAGTGCCTCGACCAATCCTCATCTAGACTTCAACCAGGTTCCACGCCTTCCTGCTGATGCTGCTGCCTTCCCAAACCATGGTCTCGATGGAACAAATAGCAGTGATGAGTCAGCCGAATCACAACCCTCGCTACAGGTCGAGCCTCGTGGCCCACCATCAACGGCGCGACTGTTCGCTTACCCAGATACGCGTGGTATGGTGGCCGACAATGATTGCTCCATCATGTACGACCAGAACCTGCGCTTCCCTGCAAAGGAAGACGCACCCTTCCAAGAAAACGACACCATCGTGCTGCCTAACATCCTGCCTTTCTGTCCCGTCAAGACGGATCCCGACACGGCCGAAGCTCTCACCGCTCTGTACCGCACACACTGCACATCGTTGATTGACTGCATTCGCTTCTGCAAGGAAAAGCAGTTCTTCCGCCTGTTTACATCCTTCCATGGCACGTTGACAGTGCCTGTACAAAAGCTGCTGGCTCATCCTAACCTTGCGCCCTGGATCCAGGCCTGTGACACCTTGATGTACCAGAAGATGGTTCGCTTCGTCTCACGCCTCACCCTTCAGGCTGCGCCGCCTGTCGTCATCAACATCCTCAACAACATCTCGACCAACTTGCACGCTCACATCTCAAAGACTTTCGCTTCGCATCCCACTCACGTCCTGCAAGCCAAACTCAAGCCTGCGGCGACGTTTGCCAGCCTTCTGCATCGTCTGATCCGCGTGAATGCCGCTGCTCACGCCGCCGCAAACCTGCTTACTGTCGACCAGAACCGTGAGCAAATGTGGCGTGAATGGGTGACTATGGTCAACCCCAAGCGTGTCATGGAGGCTGAACTTCCTGCATGTGGCTACGACGAGGTCTACAAAATCATGACATGCGATATCAGAGGTCTCTTAGAACCTCTTAGTTCTCCTCCATTCCCCGACAACCCACTCTTCGCTCATGACAACCAAGCATATGGCTTCGCTCAGGCCAACTTCCCTACTTTCCAGCAACCTCCACCTCAGACTACCGACCAGTCGGGACAGATCTCGACCGAAAACGTTCTTGACAGATGGTCCGTCTTTCTCACATCTCTCCCTTCGCGCTTCCCTCAAGCAAACACAAGGCTTTTGCTGCATTGTATCAGTGCTGTCGGAACTGCAGCTCTGAGAGATATTACCATCATGGGAGGTGCCAGCTACCAAACTTGGTGGGTCATGAAGATCTTTGTGGATGAGATGGCTCTGTGGTTGGCAGCCATGGGTGGCTTCCTCGAGCACAACCCTGTTCATGCAACCCCTGCCACCTCTGCTGCTCAGGTTTCCCCCGACGTCAAGCCTGTGGACTCGAACGCTAGCATGCGAAGTGGCAGCGACAGCAGAATGAGTAGCATAGAAGTCGATTTCAAGATGCAGCCGCAGTCTCGGCCTGCCAGTGCTCAAAGTAAGTCCTTAACTTTTTGATCTTGATTGTCTTTTCCATGGAGCTCTGACTGACTTCAAGCCTAAAAGNTGACGCGTGCTCATTCTACGCAATCCATACACACCTACAATGCTTCCTTTGACATGGGTGGCCAGCCCATGCAACTGTCTCAGTCACAACAGCTCTCATCACAACCACAGCAAAAGTTTGCAATGCCGCATCCGCGACAGTCCCTACCTTCCCAGCCCATGCAAAACCAAGGTCTGGATGCAGTTGACCTTGATGATAGCGGCATCGGGATGGGCCTCGTTGATGATGACCTGGCTATGTCCAAGTATGGCCTCTTGAGTGGGGACATGTCGGTTAACATCCTCTGACACCTTGGGGATCCACCCCAGGATGAACCTCGCTAACAACGAGACCGAGGATTTGGCTCAACCTTGCGAGGCTCACAAAGACTCTCGCACAAGTGCGAATCCTACTTGTCGGCGATGGGTCCTTGACATTGCATGAATTATCACGACTTGTTTCTTACTATCTCGACGCGTACTCACGTTTCATACACGAATGAAGGTTGCATACGTCCGACAATGCATCAACGGATATGAACGGCTTCATGCTCGAATCCAGTATACGTGCATCTTGATCCATGGATATGGACGGCTGGGTGGGGTTTATGGTGGGAACGAATTGGCTTGGGGGCATAATGATGAGGTCGGCCACTTTTTTCTTTCTCTCTTCTGGTCGCCGACCTGCCCTGGTTTGGTATTTTTCTGTCTTTTTCATGGGTGGGAGCGGTTATGCCTTTGCCAATCACAAAGGCTGTCAAGAAGTTATGCGTTTTTCACTGATTTTGTCCTTTGATCAAGCCATCCTCTGCTGGTGGAGAGGAGCTTTTCTGAGAAATGTCATCTCGCGCTGGTGTTTGTTCTTCTTTTTTCTGTCTGGCTGGTTTGATATCCCACCGCTAATTGGCTGTACCTTGTACATATTCTCCAATTTCTGTTTCGCTTTCACTCCTCTACCTGATTCTGTGTTCTCGAAATATGTCTTGATATCATGTCACTCGCTGGTCCAGTTCAGACTTCATAATAGACGACCGCCAGTATCCAAACCATGAACGATACTCGAGTAGAGCGAATCAGCAGCAAAGCGAGCGCAAGAGGTCGACTCGTGGAACCTCGGGAGATTCGAGCCAACTGGACGCACAGACCACTTTTGCGATAAGATAAGCCAAAAAATGGTTGTCCAGCGCATTGCAGAGAAGAATGCGCCACGAAGAACAAGTTTACATCACAGTTGCTCTTTTCACACAGCGTACCACACACACACCACACCGCCATCATGGGAGTGCAAAAGAAGACACGCAAGTTTGCACAGGTCAAGCGAGTCATCGGCCAACGCGACGCGCGCCTCAAGAAGAACCAAGTCACCGGCGACGACAAGGCCAAAAAGCCCTCGGAAGAAGTAGTACGAGAAATGTGTGTATTCTCCCTCTTTCCGTCTTTTTTGCGCAAAAAGGGAAAAAAACCCATATGCTGACAGCAGCACAGCCCGCAAGCACCATCCTCCATGTTCTTCCAGCACAACACCGCCCTCCAACCACCCTACTCCGTCCTCGTCGACACCAATTTCCTCTCCCACACCGTGCACAACAAACTCGAATTACTCCCCTCACTCATGGATTGCCTATACGCCACCTGCCGCCCCATAATCACGTCGTGCGTAATGGCCGAGCTGGAAAAACTGGGGCAGAAATACCGCATCGCGCTCAAGATTGCCAGAGACGAGAGATGGGAGAGACTGGAGTGCTCGCACAAGGGAACCTATGCCGATGACTGTATCGTGGATCGTGTGTTGAAGCACAGGATCTATCTTGTTGCGACAAACGATCGCGACTTGAAGAGGCGGTTGAGAAAGATTCCGGGTGTGCCGATTATCAACGTGGCAAAGGGCAAGTATGTTATCGAGAGGTTGCCCGATGCGCCGGAGAAGTAAAAGAGATGGGAAAGATACCGAGATGGAAGAGAAGCTGTTTGCAACAAGAACAGATTCAAAGGCAAAGAAGGTGCAATTACTGGCAAGACGAAGAGAAAGTTGCTCGCAGCCTTGCCATTGTTTTGCTGCTCTGGTGGAGTTCTTTTTCACTGACTGGGAGGCTTGGAGTTCATCATGGGGATGCATCACTGGGAGAATGGCGTTTTCTGTTTCTGTCCTTTTTCGAAACCTCTGCCAAAACGAACGAGGTCGCTAGGTCGTGGAGGCCTTTGACTGCATCAAACATCACTTGCAGGTGGAGCCTGATTGTTACATGCTCTTATCATATTCCACAAGATCAATCTCACAGGAATTTCATTCTGCCATCGCCTTTTGTTCCCTCTACGTGCCATCAGCACGGATTTGTCGAATGTTTGGAGACAAGGCATACGTTAATATGCTCGGTGTCTGTCAGCTCATCATCCCAGCGGTCTGGCCATTGCATCTTGAGCGGTCCTTTCGAATTCTGGTCCAAGATGTTGATTGCTAAAAACTACTAAAACTCCTAGCCCATGCACTCCAACCCAGTCGATCATGCTCTTCGTCGAACTCGTAACGCCTATCACCCTTGACTGAATCTACACCCTGTCTGCATCTCATCAACCCTGGATTGCTTGCTGCAGAGCCTTCTTGGCCTCCTCATTCTCAGGGTTCAAGTTGCCCTTGGCAGGACCCATGACACAGACACCATCCGAGGAGAAGCGAGAGGCATGGACCGGGCAATCCCACGATGCTNNGATTCGTCTCGTTAGTCAAAAGGTCGGGAAGAAAGATAGAAGCGACGCACCTTCGGCGTGGTTCCAGCAGACCACTCCCTTCATGTGGGGACAAAGAGCAGACATCTTGCGCACTTCGCCACTGTCTGTCTTGTACACAGCGATCGGCTTGCTGGTCTTCGAGTTTAGCACACCGCCAGTACCGGGAAGCAAGTCCTCGATGTCGTTGATGTCCGACTGCACCAGACGCTTGTACTGGCTGTTGATCTGAAGGTCGTGTGTGATCATCTCCTTTGCCGACTTGACGATGCTGGCCTTGCGCGAGGGGTCATACAGGGAAGCCCATGCATTCTCCTGACCAGTGATCTGGTCTGCGATGATGCGACCAGCCATGACGCCGTGTGTCNNTATTGGCAATGTCAGCTTACCCAAATCTGGAAATTACGCTCCCGCCATGAAATGTGAACGTACCAATCCATTTCCGGAGTCTCCAGTGACGATGTATGTGTGCTTGGTGCCGGGATCTAAACCTATAAAAGCGACAGCATCGACAGGCTCGAAGATCTGACCACTCCACTTGTAGTCGGTGGAGCCAACTTGGGTGAAGCGTTCACGTGTCCATCTCTCAAGCTCCTCGTAGTTCTCTTTCTCGTTTTCGTGCTGGCCAACCTTGTGGTCACAGCCTCCAATGACCAAGTAGTCGTCCTTTTCGTCGCACTCGGTGAACCTGATGTACTTGTAGGCCTCGGCAGTGTCGTAGATGAGAGAGTCCTCGTACGAGCCCTTGGGGATGCGGACGGCGATACAATATGTGCGATGGAACTCCATTTCCGCAACAACGCTCAGCTTCTGAAGGGGCACACATGTAGCCATGACAACTTCTTTACAGCTAATGGTCTTACCCTCCTCGGTGGTAACCTTGACCTCCTTGGATCCGAAGCCCATAATCTCGATGCCCTTCTCCTGGCACTCCATCATGCGGGTGCGAGTGTAGCAGCTAAAGTTGGATTGCTGCGAGAGCCACTTCAAGACGCCGAGAAGGTATTTGGTCGGGTGGAAGGTACCCTGGTTGTAGAAGACAGCAGCATCGCGCTGATCAACTTGTCCGTTCCAGCCTTTGATAGCATAGCCCTCCTTCCACTCTGCGTCCATGCCGAGGGTCTTGGAGTAAGCAATCTCTTCCTTCAGCATATTGACGTCCTCTTCGTGGTGCTTGTCACCGCGAGGGTATTGTGAGACGTTGTAGGCAGGGAGGTTGCGGTACTCGCATTCGATGCCTAGCTCTTTCGAGATCTCGCCAATGCGCTTGATGGCCCAGTCATGACTCTCGAAATGCATGACAGCACCCTTGTCTCCATGCTTGGACTTGACTTCAGTGTAGCCATCGTCAATATCGCTTGACAGGTGACCACTGGTACGTCCAGATTCTCCAGACAGGATGTCACGGGCCTCGATCATGACAACCTGGACGCCCTTCTTGACCAGCTCGTAGGCAGTTGAGATACCTGCAATGCCGCTACCAATGACACAGACATCGGCCTCCAGATCTTGGTTGAGGCGAGGATAATGAGGGCGCTTGCTGTACGGCTCGGTGTGGATCCAGACGGCATCGGTGGAGCCGGAGGTTTTCATGAACTGTTCGGGCGAGGCCGTGACCATGGTGGTCTTGTGAGCGGTTGCCATGTTTGCTCGTCTGAATGTTGTGCAGGTTAATCTGATCGAGAATCGAGTTCTGAATACGTTTGCTCGGAGTCTGTTGCTAAGTAGAGTTGGTGGTGAAAAAGGCATGAGGCCCTTGTGGAAGCAGTGCAATGCGAAGAAGAGGAAACGGAGAACAAAGGTTATGAGAAGGGAGGAAAGTGGAAGTGGTGTCGCTCTTCCTTTTGAGTAGGAAGGTGCAAGGAGCAGTGGGACGATCAAATCAAGTAGCTGCTGACCATGTCTTGCTGCTTTTTACTAGCTCTAAACAAGCAAAGGGAAGCCACAGTCCCCATGCGGGGACTGTCACTGTCATGTTGATGCAATTGTTTACCGCTTTGTGTGTTTCTACCGTGTTCATGACAGCTTCACTTTTTGACCTGCGTGGAGCTTCATGACGAACATCTGGCAGCTGATACATGTTGTCAACTGCTAATGCTTTAGACTATCAGCACACCCTTCTCCCTTTTGACCGATTTGCTGGAGAAATGTCTGTTTTGAGAGGTGGAACGACAGGAGTTGTTTCCGTTGTTGATCCCAGGTGTTTAAATCGGCATCACAACGCCGTCATCCACAATTTCAAGCGCGTCGATTGGTGCTTGGCTACCCGTTCGTGATGCTCTGATGACAGCGACTGCTTTCAAGGTCAATGTGAACATTATCAAATACACACTATCATTCAGTGGAGAGAAACTGAAGAACTGCAACTTAGTTGGTTGCTTCAAGTGACGGTAACGAGCGTCTCGCGAGTTGAGGTGAAGGCTTCGTATAGGTATCGCGGAGATTTATATACACATGGCTGTATAGGATCTTTCTGTCAACTTGTCCATATGTTTCGGGTGTTCTTTGATGATCTTGGTTGTATTCATCTTAATCCTCGCGCAGAAACAGCGAGATGCTATCTCGAACATGTAGTGAGACGAACGATCTGCTTATCATTTGCATTCGAAACACGCACGACACGCATTGGGTGACTTGGTTTACGAGCATTTCTGTTTCTTGTTCTTGAAAGCCTACAAGGCAAGTAACTGTTCTGCTCATATCTTAAACCATGGAGTATGTCCAAAGAAAAGATATGCCGTGCATAGACAGGGTCACTGAAGCGACATCAATGTGAAAACAAATGCATATAAATCAAAATAATACACTTCATCTGAATATTACCTAGCTTGGTTGCAAGCAAAGAGTTAATCCACCATGTCCTTGCCTGCCACTCCAATAAGTACAATAAAATACACATCCCATTGTAGGAAGATTAGTGCCAGACTATTCTCCTATCCACGGTCCCGTTCCCAAGAAAGGAAAGAAGAGATGAGAGATAGGAAAGATGACTTTGAGAAAGAAAGAACAAAAGGAAAATTCAGACAAAGTGTTTGCCATCTCGAATTCGTATACTATCTTTTTGTTTTCTCGAGAGATTCCAAACAGGTTCGTTTCCTCCTTTTCGCGTTCGTGCCCAAAAGACGAGGGAAATAACAAAGCAGAAGTGCAGCAGATGGGGAAAAAGGGAAAGACTAGACTCGATGCAATTTCGACAAAAATCAGTGCGCTGCTTTCCGGCTTGTGTGAATGTTCCTTCAAGCCATGCTGGAAGCCAATAATGGTGGGATATGTTCTTTTGAAAGGGGTCTACTTTCGTAGCGGTCGTTGTTGTCATTCGTCATTGACTTCATCAAGGCAGCCGAGAGACCGAAGAAGACATGACAATCTTCTCTCGTCTGCCCATGCCGTGGTAGCTTGTTCATCGTTCTTGAAATCGGTTCGAGTTGCAAGCATCATACTCATGAGGGTGTACAGTTGCCGTTAGGTGTCATAGAAAATGAGTGATTTACTCGACAGTGATCTCGACACCGGACTGTTGCGACAGTTCATCACTGCCGCGAGCCATGTGACCATTGCGACGAGGGAAGCCAGAGCCACGCTCAGGCATTGGGCCTCGAGGCTGGCGAGAGGGTACGCCCTGGTTGCGGTCACGGGGCTGCTCATCATAGCCGGTGTTATTGGTGCTGAAAGAGCGGTGGCCGCCAATGGGTCCAGGGTTGGATTCGCGATCCCAAGACATCATACCGCGCAGGCCACGAGGGCTGCTGGCGAAACCAGCGGGGCCACCAATGTTCATGTTGCCGAGTCCGTTGACGAGCATGTTCTCGTCACCACGGGTACCGATGGGTGCAGCGGTACCGGTGGGAGTGATGGCAGGAGTACCACCATTCTCACGAGCGTACTCAGCGAAGCGAGAGACATTGTTGCCAAGAGTGGCGGGGAAACTGGCGGTGGAAGGGACGGGAGAAGGAGTGTAAGAGCGCAAGTCAGCAAAAGACTTGGCAGCACGGAGGTTGGGACCTGCGGCGAGAGTACTAGGAGCGTCCTGGAAGCCGGTAAGGTAACCAGATTGCTGGTGACGAACACCGGCGGGGTTGTAAAATGCGTCTTGGTTGCGAACATCGGTGAAATCGGTCGTCGCAGCGCGGTTGAGGCCTCTTCTCTGCGTCTCACCCTGCTGAATAGCCTGAATCTGAGGCAGAGGAGGGCTGAGCCTCTGGCGAG